TTTTGAAGCGCCGCCAAGCGAAGCGTACGTAATCATGGTAATGAAAGTGATCGAGATGAATGCTTGTTCTGGGGGACATCACCATGACAACAGTGAGACAAGTGAAAGGTAACCATGGCGCAAACAGGCTCAAGGTCTGGCCAGAATCATGTACATGAATGGTTTTCATGTACTCTTGCCTCCCTGATTCCAAGAGTCTTGGAATCAGGGAGGCTGGGCCTGGGGCTCGAATACTAATAGGGAGGCATATTTTGGTCCTTTTGACACAAGGTCGCATAAAGTAGCAAATCTAGCATGTTGTACCAAATGTAGCATATTTTGCTACAAGGAGCAAAGAATTCGCATAATTATAGGGCAGATTGCGGAAATGGACAAGGAAACAACGGCACGCTCGGTGAGGAAACACTTCCAAACTTAGCCCGGAAGGAAAAATGCTCATCCAAACACGGGGCGAAAATTGGACTCAAGAAGAGAGTGTCCGCGACTCAAGGTTAGCCATTGGCGGACTATGGTCGGCCAATCGTCAAATTATGCTTTTGATTATGCCACAATTATGCCAACAAATATGCTGAATTATGCTGAATTATGCTCGGTTCCACTATGTATAGACCTTGAGTCTGTGGGGATTGCCCTATTAAAATATGAATAAATAATAATACTCAATCTGCGGGCAGAACTGTTTCGTCCTTTGTGGACTCGTCAGCGCAGCACAGAGAAAGTGAGGCCGAACCTGATAGCAATGGAAATACAAATTTCCAATCAGGTCCGAACGTACCTTGCCAGAGTGCTCAAACTGACAAGTCAGTGAGCTCTGCATAACGCAAACAGCAAAGGCACTACCCCACGCAAGAGTGCTCAACTGCTACAAGAGCAGGAGCGAAATACTCAATCTGCGGACAGAACTGTTTCGTCCTTTGTGGACTCGTCAGCGCAGCACAGAGAAAGTGAGGCCGAACCTGATAGCAATGGAAATACAAATTTCCAATCAGGTCCGAACGTACCTTGCCAGAGTGCTCAAACTGACAAGTCAGTGAGCTCTGCATAACTCAAACAGCAAAGGCACTACCCCACACAAGAGTGCTCAACTGCTACAAGAGCAGGAGCGAAATACTCAATCTGCGGACAGAACTGTTTCGTCCTTTGTGAACTCGTCAGCGCAGCACAGAGAAAGTGAGGCCGAACCTGATAGCAATGGAAATACAAATTTCCAATCAGGTCCGAACGTACTTTGCCAGAGTGCTCAAACTGACAAGTCAGTGAGCTCTGCATAACGCAAACAGCAAAGGCACTACCCCACGAATAAATAATAATAATAATGTATTTCGCATATTATGCTTTTCTAATATGCGAAATTTTTGGGCATATTTGGGCCCTCCCTATATCCCTAGGCTCGAAAGAAAAAGTGTTTAGGCCCCCGTGTAATATTATGCCGGCATTTTTTTGAGCATTTTCGGTACAATCCGCGAACCCAGCACTTTGGGCTCGTGATGCAGCATTTTGGGGGAAACGGAGCACTTGGCCGTTAACGCGTTGTGTATCAAAATTGAGAGAAGAAAACTTCCCAAACAAGAACGTCACTTCCGCATTCTGTGGGTTAGCTTCTTGTTGAGTAGTTTATGAATTGTTTACCATGGCACTGGACTCGAGCAAGTCTCTTATTGAGTATTTTCTGACTCCCTGTCCAGGTCAGTGGCCTAGACGGTATTAAACGTGTTGTTTCTTTGTATGCGTTGCTTGCTTACTTGTAGTTTGTCTCCTGCAACCATGTTTCAACATTGTTAGTGCTTACGTTTGGTGATTTTGTTGCCGCCGGTGCCGCCAACTGCCATCTTCTCAGATTTGTGTTGGGTTTCAGTTCCCGTTATGGCAACAAAGAATTGGATTGAGTTTTTTCTTTCTTCAGATTCTTGGCGTTTTGTTCATTTTTTGGTACTAACGTTACATTGTACTCGTATTGAGATTTTCTGTCATAATAATTATTATTATGTATAAGCACATTTGCTTTGCCCGTACAAGAGGCTTATTTTCTGCCTCCCTGGTTTTGACGGCGTGTGCTGAGGATTACAAAAAAAGTGAGCATTTTCCGAGCATTTTCGGCAAGGTTCGGGAGCATTTTCGGCAAGGTTTACGAGAATTTCCCAAAAGCATTTTCGGCAAAGCTTCGGGCATATTACACCGGGCCCTAAAAGTGTTCCGAACTAGAAAAGACTACAATTGTCATGATCATGTAGACCATGGTAGACTACAGTCTAGACTAGATTGAAAAATAGAATTGGTCACCAGTGACCTCCTACTCCTACTAGCTCAGCAGTGTCTGGGGTTCAACCGGGTAGATCTGTAATAACTACACTGCGGCAGTACTTTTGTAGGCACAGGCTTCTCAACCTGATCATCAACCCTGGTTGGTTGGTTTTTATTATTTCAGTTCGTTGCCTCAACAGTACTGAAAGTACAAATATCAAGAGGGACGAACGAAAAGAGAAAATAAAACAGAGCAGACCCCTGATTTGTGTTATCAAATGTACGCCGTCTATATATGGGTACTGTACTCTACGTTACTACTCTACTTTATCACACTCTTTACACGGCAGCACGGAATGTAGGTTATGATAACAGTTATATTCACTGAACACAAAGAGGACTAAAGCAGAGGACTCGGGGGCAATTATGAGGAGAAGACAACTGGGAGGACTACCAACTGTAAGAACAACTGGGAGTACTACTCGGAGAATCAACTAGGAGAACCCACTAGGAGAATCAACTAGGAGAACTAACTCGGAGAATCAACTAGGAGAACTACACTGCGCAAGCGCAGCCTTCAGAATATAACGAAAGCCATGGAGGGAAAAAGAGGTGCATGCAGTAAGTGGCAATACGCCAATAGGGTGAGCGGGAAAAGGGGTGCATGCAGTAAGTGAGACAGGGTGAGCGGGAAAAGGGGTGCGGTGCATGCAGTAAGGGAGGCACTGTCTCTCTCCGGAGGATACAGTATTTGAAGTTGATGGATCAACCGCGCCATCCACAGGATGTCCTGTGGGCGAAATATCGTCCAACTCAGCGAACGAAAAAGTGTCCATTCCATGCCAAGTGGCGATTGGATGATTCTCACGCAATACAACTGGGGAATCTGATGGATTTAGCAAGCGAACAGGAACTTCGCCGGCAACACTCGACCTGACCAAGGTGGAACCAACTAACACAGAACTACATGAGGGGGAGGGCATTCGCTCTACCAATCCAGTAGAGAATGAGCATGCAATTCTGCCAATAGCAATCATTTCGGAACGAGCTGGAATGTGTACATGCTCCTGCAAAATGACATCACTACCTTCGACTGGGGCCTGTGGCTCCACAGTTCTGTGGGGGATGTACGGGACGAGTGGGGTCGAACTCCCACTCCAGGTCATCGTACAATTACTCAAGTTTAAAACTATGCCATACTTCACTAGGACGTCAGCGCCCAACAAAAAGTCTTCATGCAAATTAGGGACTATGATAGCTGAAAATTGTAAAGGGGTGCTGGAATGGTCCAACTGCAGGGTAAAGGTCACGGCTCCCGAAAATTCCATGGGGCGGCCCTCTGCAGAATACAGACGTCTTACACCAAATACGTCTTCAGCACTATGGGAGTCCGGATGAACATCAGACTGTTTTAGGACACTCTCTTTCACGAGTGAAACTGCGGCACCCGTATCAAGAAGGATACGGCTGACATGAACAGGAGTGGTTGCACTAGCATCTGGATTAGGAAAGTTAAAGGTACCCGAAACGTAAAAACCACTTGAACGGGCAGAAACATTAGGGATGGTCAGGTCGAGGTATTCATCATCAGTACATGTATCTTCTTCGTGGAGAGCATTAATTTACAGCTTGCAACACGGGCGTGGTTTCAAGCGCGGAGGTAACGGGCAAAACAGGTGTGTCATCCGCATTTTGATCCATCAACACTTGAATAGCTAAAAAATTAGGGGTGTTGTGATGGATTTCCGGAGGCGCAAACGGAAGAAAAGGCTCATCCTCTTCTTCAAACTCTTCTAAGAGTGGGATATGCGCCTCCGAGCCGTCATCACAACATTCCGTGCATGCGGAGTAAGGGGCACCCAGCGAAGTGTCTGCTAACATCTCATACCCAACAGTTGAACCCACATCACATTCCCCAGAATGACAATCAGCATCACCCCAAGGCAGAATGGATTCCAACCAACTATCAGCCTTACTTAATTTACTTTTACCACTATCACAAAGAGACACAAAAGTTGTGTCAACAAGAGATTTGTCATCAGCAGGAACTTCTACATTATCATTGTTAATTCTACCAAAAGAAGAACCCGCCTCGTGACTCAGTTTAAAGGCTGATCACGGAAACGAACATTATGAGAGGGTGGGCCATGAGGTGGGGGACCATATCTATCATCTCTACCGTTACGTGGGGGCTGACGAGAATTGTTACGAGGTCCATAGCCACGGGAAGGAGGATGAGACGCTCCTTGGGGGGTCTTACGGGAAGGAGGATAACACGCTCCTTTGGTTACAGCAGGGAGTCATCAAATACCGGTACTTCACGACTCTCTGGTTACCATGGTTGCAGTAGGTTATGTGGACTTGAAAGTGATGACACTAGTAGAAGTCTAAAAATACGACAAAAAAAATATCGACACAGTACAGTGTGCTTACCATGGAGACTGAGCACTTAATTTTTTTGAATGTCACCCTAAGGTGTTCTATTATTGGAGACGTGCTATAATTGGAGACTGTGCTTATCTTAGAGATAATACGGTACAGTGTATTACCTTTTAGTATTGTACAGTCAACTTCGCTTATAACGACACTCGGCTGGGCATCAAAAAGGTGTCCTTATTCGCGAAGTGTTGTTATACCCGAAGTCTCATTATATGTATTACAGTGGGATGGGACTTTGCTCTGGGCATAGAAATTCTGTCGTTATTCGCGAATTGTCGTTATATCCGCAGTCGTTATTAGCGAAGTTGACTGTATTGGCG